ACCCACCTTGCCCTCCCAAAGTGCTGGGATTATAGGTGTGAGCCACTATACTCAGCCTCCAACAAATTTATTTAACAGCTTTTAGTAACAATATACACTTAACTAACAACTCAACTTTCTGTGTTCAATAGATTTTAACACATCTTCTAAAAAGAATAAACATTACTGCCTTCAGTGACTCATTTGGTGAAAAGCAGGAAGCTGATGTGGTAACAGAAAAAGAGAAAAGGGGAAGACAACAAAAATAGAGAGGACAAAAGGCATTTTGCAATATAAAATATATGAGCTTTTCATGTTTCTCTCTGGTTTAAAACCAGAGAGAACACTGAAATTAAGATGTGATCACTGTTGCTGCTTATATTACCTAATCAAGAGTAATTGTGCAATCTTCCAGTCTGTAATGCTCCCTGTATTCCACCTGAATTTGGATATTGGATTTCTTTTCTAACATTGTATTCTTTGTGTGCTTGATTTAATCAGTGATACACAAAGTATGTTCCCCAAAACATTAATTCTTCAGGACATTAATAATTGAGATTTTTAAAAGTATGTAGTCAAATAAATTTGTTATATTGTAGGTTAGACAAGTTTAACAGGTGCCTTGCTCCAAAATATTGGAAGCTTTTCATATACTAACATATGCTGCAAGTCTAAATATGTATGGTTTTCTAAATTTCTTTAGCTACAGAATCTTTCCTTTGTGGAGCTTTTAGCCAAATCAGTGTTTCATGGAACCAATGTTGAGCAAATGGATTTGAATACTGCTTCAATATTTTCAATACTGAAAAACACTCCATCCTCTCTTTAATCACATGATGCTCTGGTCCTACCCACAGCCTGTCTCTGCATCACAGTCCCCCAAGTTCCACACGGTGGGGGTCCAGAGATACTCCTTGAAGTCTACTGCAGAGACCTTGGCAGGTCCCCGGCTCTTGCGTCTTCTCACAGGGGCAATAGTGCTTTTTCCTCCTTTAGCCACAGAAGTCAGAAATGAGCCCCAACCACACCCTGGGACCATATTTGCCAGGTCCTGTAAGTCGGGTCAAGTGGCAGGGATTCATAAAGTTTTCAGAAGCGAAACTGACCCCATGGAGAGGGAAAGAATCTCGCTCTCCACAGGCATAAGAAGGGACCCAAGTGTGTTTAACTCATTTTGTCAGAAGCCAGAAAACTTTAAAAGTCTTTCCCAAAAAAGCTATTTTGAGAGGTTATGGTGGTGATGTTATTGGGTAAAAGATTTTCATCTTTATTGGACAAAAAAAGAGAAAAACACGAGACACTCAGAACCCTTTATTTTATACTTAAATAACAGTTTAGTAGAAAATCAGGCAGGCTTTAGTTCGGTGTGAACTTTGCCAGACTATGTAACTTTTTGCAGCCTTGGCTCTTCAGTCATAATATGGGGGTGAAAATGCCTATCCTGCAGCATTCCATTAGAGATAAAGTGAAGTAATGCATGTACTGGTAACACCGTGCTCCATGCATGATTCATGCCCAGTGTAGCATCAGCTGCAGATGTTACTGAAGGATATACCTGTTGGCTCTTGTAAGAAACAAGCTCCATGGGTTCTGCTTTTTAAAGAAAGCACATGACTTACCAAAACAGATTTCTTCCAAGGAAAGTATGCTTTAAAAAAAAAAAAAACAAACTAATTAATCACTTACCTCTTATTTATATAGCCTTGAAAAAAATTTAAATTCTTCATTTCAACAGTACTTCTCCTACTCTTTCAGAAAAGAAATCACTAGAAAGCTGCCTATGGCTGACAACTCCAATTCTCTCTAGAAGGATTTTTTTAAATCTCTATTGGGCATCTGTAATGCGCCCCATTATGCCGGCCCAATCCCTGAGCCAACTTATACCATTCGCATTGCTAGACTGTTTCTTTTCCAAATAGATCAGAGATGGGCTAACTGTTCACCAAACTATTCCCTCTCCGTCCTGGGTACCTGACTACATTTCCTGATATCCCTTGTACTTGGCTGTGACTATGTGACTAAATGCCAGCCAATGGCATGGCTGACAGTGTTGGGTGTCCCTCTAAGCCTAACCATGTAACCTTCCCATGCACACTCCTCATGCTCTTGCCCCTTTGTTCCAGCCTGACATAAATAAGCCCTGCAAACCTCATACAGGAAGCCACATGGAAGATGGCAGGGCCACAAGAGGGAAAGGGTCTGTGTCCCAGATCACTGCTTAAAAAAGAGCCAGCTGCAGCTCAAATACTCTGGTTTTCAGCTGGGTATACATGAGGAATGCTTCTATCATGTTGGGGCCATCCTATAATTTTGGATGGTTTTTACGGTAGCTGGTGTCTGGGGCATCTGGAAGTCCTGAGGTTTTTGCAGAACATTATAAGATTATTTATGAAAATAATAAATCTAATTATTGTGTACCAAGTCAGAGACTCAGATACTAGCTCATAAAACAACTAAATAATCTAAAACTAAGATATCATTATAAACTAGGTTCTACTCTATGTAAACCATCAGAGATGTCAAAAGTTTAATAAAAATATTACTGAAGGGTGAATTTTCTATGTTTCAACCTTAAAGCAGAGAAAACTCATTTCATTTATTTACTTGTCCTGGACACAAGAAAGGTTGGCATTGCTTGACTCCAGTAGCAGGGACATCCTGATTCATCCTATGAAACACCATTGTTTCATGATGTATAGTTTCTGTCAGAGCATTAGTGCAGATAGACATTTCTGAGTTTTTGTTTTTAAATCTAATTAGATTTGGCCTTGTCAGCTATAGACTCTCATCTATATTTAGTAAATAATAGATTAGGATCACTTTTTTAACCTTATAATTATATGATTATATTCCATTATGATTTGACTGTAGTTATCTATGGTTTAAATCAATCACGAAACTCATTATTTATCTAAATGTTAAAATGTATAGGAATATGCATTTGTTCTGTGTACACACAGGAAAAACATCAGGAGATATTCTAAGAAATTTAAGCCTCAGGCCAAACCTGGGAAATTCAAGCCTCAACCTCAACCTAAGACCAATTAAGTAAATTATTTATATCACTGGCTAAAGTATAAGGGAGCTAACCTAGTTTCAGACCAACCAGTTAAAGACTGAATGCCAAATGAAATTATTTACTGATTACCAAAAAACCATCATGTTAATTCAATAAAGATCTCATAATTAAATACAACATTCCCAACGGTACTTCTGCAAAACCACCTTTGGTAATCACAGATGATAACCTGAACCCAACATATCCTAAGTAATGTACTAACACATGCCTCATACCAGTGGTATTCTTTCCATCTCGACTGTTTCCCCTTTAATCTAAACCACCACAACTCTCACAAGGCCTACTGAAATATTTGCCCTTGACCTGGCCTCCTTGCTTCCACTCTGGCCCTTCTCCAAACTGTCCCCCGACAGGGCCCCCAAAGGGGTCTCCTTCAAGCACATATCATATCATACCACTCTCTTACTTGAAAATCTTCCCTATGTTTTAACTGGTCTTAGAATAAAATTGGAACTCCATCACGGCCTGCTGTGCCTGCCAGTCCCAACCTATCCTGGTACCAACCTCTCTATTCTCATCATTCCAGCCCAGGTAATCTCCTTTGTATCCCTTATATATCCCAAGTTTTGTCCATCAGGGCCTGCAAACTTGCTCTTCCCTCTGTCCAAAATGCTCCCTTCCAGCTTTGTAGGTAGCTGACTGTTCTTCACCCTTCAGGTCTTAGCTCATCCCTGTTTATTTCCTTCATAGCACTTTTTTTTTTGACAGAGTCTCACTGTGTTGCCCAGGCTGGAGTGCAGTGGCACAATCTCAGCTCACTGCAACCTCTGCCTCCCAGGTTCAAGCAATTCTTCTGCCTCAGCCTCCCAAGTAGCTAGGACTATAGACGCATGCCACACATCTAGCTAATTTTTTGTATTTTCAGTAGAGACGGGGTTTTACCGTGTTAGTCAGGGTGGTCTCAATCTCCTGACCTTGTGATCTGCCTGCCTCAGTCTCCCAAAGTGCTGGGATTACAGGCATGAGCCACCACACCTGGCCCATAGCACTTATAAAGCCCTGTAATTTTATTGTTCTTGTTTGAAGACTTGGACACACTATGAGGACAGGAAGCTCGTCCATTCTGTGTTACTACCTTGTGTCAGGCATCATCTCCTTGGAGATAAAAGGATGGATAAATGAATGGATAGATGGGTGGATGGATGGATGGATGGGTGGGTGGATGGATGGAATAAACATGTAGTAGATACTTTCAGGATTATTTGATCCAACAACTGGAACCATCCATGAGAAACTGTATTATCACATTTAGTAATGAGTCATTCTGGCAGGGATGTATATAGGGCAATCCCAATTTCTGCTCTCTTAAGTACATCCCTCCTGGGAATATAAAGAAGCTTTAACTCTGGGACCATTCATATGGCCCTTTTCACACAGTGAGTTCTGCTCTAAAGGAAAAATAATTGTACAAAATTGAAAATTATAAGAGGATATTCCAGTATTTAATTAGCTATAATATTTGGGGATATAAGACTATCCTGGCTTTTAATTCTAAGATATCCAATTTATAGAGAAGCTCTTTCAGATATAATGTCAACTCAATGCAGAGTAAGACCATAAGCAAAAAACAAACAAAAAAAAAGCCACCACCGCCACAAGCTGTTTTCTTGGGTTACTATATAGATTCCTATATCTGGAACTATTCTTCCTGGAGGTGATACAGCAAATCAAACCTCCGACAGTGTGGAAATCCAGCATGCACTTCATTTTTGTTTATGGCACTGGGTCAATCTGACAGAATAGTTTGTTTTCAAAGTTCTGACTAAATGGAAGAGAGTCGTGTCTACAGATTGTTTTCCCAGAAGTTCCTCTGTATATATAATAGGAAATGCAGGATTGGATCTAGTCAAGGGCTAGTTAAATGTCAGGGCAGTCTTTCCACATTGAACACCATGGAGAATGCCAACATGTGTGACCATGCTTTTCCCCACTTTGGGCCATGATGAAGAAATGCTATCCCAAGCCAGCAGAGCAGCTGAACTCCTTTCTGCAGCTCAACACAAGAAAAACCAATGACCTCTGCAGAATGTCTGCCAAGGAACTGCACGCCTATTGGCAAGGAGCATCAGCCTACAAGGAGGGAGGTTGTAAGAATCAGCCCTTCCATGCATGTGCTAGTGGTTACTCCTGTAAGGAAGTCGCTAGGGTCTTTGCTCAGGACATCTCATGATGCTCCCTTTTTGAAGGCCCACAGGAGAAATTCCTCCCAGAGCTCAGTACCAAGAAAAATTTTGCTTCTCCTAAAGACTTAGTTTTGTTGTGGCTTCATTCGGCCTTTTGGATACTAAAAATACTTTAACAGATCATATTATCTGTTTGTAGGAAGCCCTGAGGTTTGCAACCCTCTACACTATTGACATTAGACATTATGACATACATTCTTACATTTGAACTGTGCCCCTGACTTCATCTTGTATTTTTACTCTTGTTTTCCCTCAATTCTGATTTCTTTAATCTTTTTCCTCTTGCATTATATATATATATATATTTATTTATTTATTTATTTATTTTTGAGACAGAGTCTTGCTCTGTCGCCATGTTGGAGTGCAGTGGTGTAATCTTGGTTCACTGCAACCTCTGCCTCCTGGGTTCAAGCAATTCTCCTGCTTCAGCCTCCCAAGTAGCTGGGATTACAGGTGCGCACCACCATGCTCAGCTAATTTTCGTATTTTTAGTAGAGATGGGGTTTTCCCATGTCAACCAGAATGGTCTCAATCTCTTGACCTTGTGATCCGCCTGCCTCAGCTTCCCAAAGTGCTGGGATTACAGGTGTGAGCCACCCAGCCTCTCCTGTATCATTTATATTTCTATAAATGGTTTCAAATAATTTTGAGAATGAAAATGGCTAGTAATACATAGATACACACAATGGATTTTAAGCCAAACCCTCTACGGACCCTAGTCCTGTAAAAAGACAATGTGGCCTCAGACATACCTGGGCTTGAATTCTGATTCTGTGAATTTCTAGCTCTGTGAATTTGGTTAAGTCGCTCAGTATTTCCCAGTTTCCATTTCTTCCTCTTTAAACCGAGGTAGTATCATCTACACTGTATAGTAACTGTGAGAATTAAAGAGAATGTATCTAAAGCACTGGCACTTAATAATTGTTAAATTAAAGTTATTCTTTATTATTATTAATAGCGATACAGATTACTACCAAAGAATACTTAGAGACAGTGTCTGGCTTGTCATGTTGACAGGCTTATGAACACTAACACTAACTACTCATATAGCACATTTCTACCCAAAAAAGACCTGTGGTTAAACACTTCCATACTAGCTCAATGTCTCCAAGCCCTTCTTGCCAACATGCTAGGTTTGTTGCAAGATCCTCTCCCCATTAAGGCTCCCTGTACCATATCCCCTGTCATGGATTGAACTGTGTCTCCCCCAAAAAAACACTGAAGTTCTAATCCCAATACTTATAATTTAACCGAAGAAACAAAATATAACCAAAGAAACAAAATTATTTGCAAATGTAATCAAATTAAGATGACGTCATCCTGGATTAGGGTAGGTGCTAAGTTTAACAAATAGTGTGCTGATAAGAAGACCACCAAAGGGCCACACGAAGGGACACACAGATAAATGAAGAATCGATGAAGGATACACAGAGGCAGAGATGATGCATCTAGAAACCAAACAACACTAAGGACTACCAGCAAGCACCAGAAGCTAGAAGAGGCAAGGAAGGATTCTTGTTTAGAGGCTTTGGCAGGAGCATGACTCTGATTTTGGACTTCCAGACTCTAGAACTATGAGAGAATAAATTTCCATTGTTCTAACCCACCTTGGTTATGGTAATGTGTTATGGCCACCCTAGGAAACAAACAAATCACCAAACTCCTACAGCCCCAAGTGGCACAAGTAAAGAAACCAGGCGAACTTGCAGTCCAGGTGACATCTGCCAAGAACTCCATACATACATGCCTGCCAGTAAGATGTATTTCATGGGCGGCATATACTAAAAGAGCCCAAAGAGTTTGACCGTAGGCTTCAATGAATTAATTCTTCTTTCTGAGTTTAAAGAATCACATCAACAGGAGGGCATTAGGTCTAGATCAACAATGGCAAATACAACTTAACTAATAATAGCTGGATTACAGTGTTATGTTGAAAATTCTGTGGAGCCATCTGGGTAAAGATGCAGAGACAAAATAAAACCCCAGAATATTCCATCTGCATTCTCCTTATGCCTGTGACCATCCTCTTCAGTTTCCTCTCCAGCTGCCCACTCTAACATAGCAGATTCTTGGGGTTCTGACACTAACCCACTTCATTCCATTCCCTATATATTCTCTTTGGACAGACCCACTGATTCTTAGTCTTATCACCTACAGCTTCTGTGGATACCTTCAAATCTATCTCTCCTGCTAGCATCAGTCTTCTGCTCTACTCTAGGCCCATATATTCAACTGCTGGATAGACATCTCCACTTAGTTATCTCAGACAGTTCAGCAACTTGTCTATAACAGAACTACCCAGTTGCTCCCCTAAGCCAGCTCTTCCTCCCATAGGCTATCTCGCAGTTGGTGGCACAGCCAAAATCCAGCTAGAAAACTGAGCTTTTCCCTAGTCTATTTCCTCCTTCTCACCCCTGCCTCCCATCCCAAATCAATTTCCAAAACTTGCCAACTTCTTACTTTCTAAGTAATTCTCTTCTCGATACCTGCTATCACTGTCCCTATTCAAACTCTCATCAACTCTTGCCTTTTAAGATTAAGACTAGGTATCACTGACTCCAGGAACCTCGGCAAGGGACTACATTTGTCTTGTCTGCACTTGTATTCTTGGAATTTAACATTGTGTCTAACATCTGTAGGCAACAGATGATGATGGAAGCTATCATTTATTGCTCACATTCTATGTACTAGATTCTTTCTCAGCACTTTACACCTCCACAAGCACCCTTGGCAATAGGTACTCTTCTTAGCCTTGTGTACAGATAAAATACAGAATGCTCAAAGTTACACAGTTCTATCAAGAGGCAGAATGAACTAATCTGATATCCAATTTAGATTAAAATATACTCATAAGATAAAATACTGAAATGCATATCTATTCATTCAATAAATATTTATTGAATATACGCTGTGTCCTAAACACTGAGGATAAAATGGAAAGCAAAGAAAACAAACAAGTGAGTACATAAATAAATTAATTTCAGACATGGAGAAAAGTCTAGCATCTCTCAGGAAACCCATTCTAAGCCTCTTCTCGGGCTAAATGGGGGCAAGGATGTTGGCAGGAAGAAAAGAGACCCCTCCTCACTTCTTCCACCCTCTTGCTCTAGAAGATTATTCCCAGATACCATCCTCAACCTCAGGCATTGTTCAGACACTTAAGAAATCCTAAAATTTGCAGCATGTGAGTCCTCTGCCAGGCTAAGTAAGCCCACCAAAATTTTTCTATACAATACCTTTCTTTGTTCTTCAGAAATGTCAAGAAACCTTATGACCACATGCCAGCTGATAGTAATTAAAAGAAGACACTGTCTTCATCTCCACTATGCCAACTCCTTTTTAAATGTTTATCCAAGACAAGAGGACATTTCTGTCCACCATCCACAGTACTCTCATCATTTCTTCCCAACTACAGCCACGCTTGGATGTGGTCTAGGAAAAAATCCACATCTACCCACTGAGTAAAGAGAAGGATTATTCTGGTAGGTGACATCCATCTTTCATCCCTGCCATCTGAAATTCTTACTAACCACTCAGAAGTAAAAGCCCCATTTGGGCTCAAAAGGACCGAGTGCGGTGGCTTACACCTGTAATCCCAGCACTGAAATGAGGATATGGATGGAGGCTGTTCTGGTAATCCTAAAAGAGAAAGTAGGTTTTACTGGTGGTGCACATTTATTTACTGAAATACTTATTCCACCATGCTACATTTCTTTTTATCAGGGATTCTTTTCTCACAGCTCAAATTATTCCTGGGCAGGAAGTTACTGTGTGCATAATCTTCAACCGGGCTGGAAAAAACAACTGGATATTAGTTTGTCCAAAGAGCCCCTCTAAGGGTGACACGATTAAATGACAGCTACAGGGAGCACCATGTACCAAAAAGTGGCGAAAGGAGGTGGTGGAGAGGAATGATCTTAGAACTTCTCAGCAGTTTTGCCTATGCAGGTCATTACTCAATCAGATTTGAGAACTATAAGAAATCACATGGCAGTTTTTGATTAAACAAACATTTACTATGTAAGATGTGCCATGGATACAAAACTAAGAAGGACACATTTTTATTCTGGAGGGGAAGATATATGAATCAACCAAGCAATACAAAACTGTGTGATATCACTAGAGTGGTGGTACAAAAGTGCTCATGTCCTAACCAGCCTCAGGGAATCCCAAGGCAAATGCACCAGAAGTAGTAGAGGACGTCAAATGGCCACCTAAGTTCCCATCTACCATTCTGTAAACGCCTTGATTTTCCCCAGCGCCTGCCCATATCCCTACAAAAAAAGCACTAAGCCACCAAATAACTTTACTGTCATTCAGACATGGCTTCATTGTTATCATTCAGTCACCCAACAAATAATTATTGAGCGCCTACTATGGGCCAGGTGCTGTGATAGCCTGGCTTTCTCACAGGCTAGGTCTGGTAAGCCATTTATCCTGGACCTCATATCCATAAAGGGCTGACAATATAGATTTTTAATATTATCTCCAAATGATATCCTATATACAGTCACAAAGATATACTTCTAGGATTCAACCTCAAAGCATAGCACAATTTTTATAATCCTGTTTTGGCAATTTAAAAAATATATGTACAAGTCCTCCAATTGCCACCCATGGATATGATCTGGGTCTCTCCTATTCCCTGTGGGCATTTAAGAGAAGGCAAATGAGCCAGTTGTTATACCTTCCCTCACAGAACTTATTGCTTAGTAAAGAGAATGGTGTCAAACAAGGAATATATCAAACTGATAATTGTAGTAGCCACAGGGGAGGAGAGAAGGATGACAGATGAGGCTGAGCTGTTAAGCAAAGCTTTCACTCGCTCTGAAGTGTTTGAACTTTTACAATATGCACATATCCATGTATTTCCTGTATAGTCATTATCAGTTTCTCTATCAGGGACGTCATTAAGAGAAGAGCCAAGAAAGGGACCAGAGCTGGCCCCAAATGAGGCAGATCC